TTTCTGTCAGAGTTGTCTCAGCCCCACCCACCTCACAGGGTGTCTGTTGTGGGGAGGGGAAGGGAAAGGAGTTTGTCAGCCGCTCTGAGAGTCCCTTGGGTAGTGAAGGGCGGGGCATAAATCCAACCTCTTCTCTCTGTTCTCTCTCATTGCACATATATTTAAAGTGGCCCTATGCTGGGTCAAGACCAATTATTTTATTTATTTATTTATTTTGTTTAATTTACACCCTGCCCTACCCCACGTGTGGGCTCAGGGCAGCTGACAACATATGATTGATAAAACAATAAAACAGCAGATGGAACAATAAGCAATGACAGAAAGGACCCGTGCCCAAAAAGCTCCAGTGCCCAAGTGATGCCACCTAAAACAGCCAGGAACTGGGAAGAAGAAGAAGAAGAAGAGGAGGAGGAGGAGGAGGAGGAGGAGGAGACTGGTTTTATACCCCACCCTTCACTACCCAAAGGAGTCTCAGAGCGGCTTACAAACTCCTTTCCCTTCCCCTCCCCACAAATAGGCACCCTGTGAGGCAGGCGGGGCTGAAAGAGCTCTTTTCAAAAACTGCTCATGAGAGAAACAGCTCTGACAGAACTGTGGCTTGCCCAAGGTCATCCAGCAGCTGCCTGTGGAGGAGTGGGGAATCAAACCTGGTTCTCCCAGATTAGAGTCCGCGCAGTTCACCACGACACCAAACTGGAAGGGGCCATGAACGGGGGGGGGGGGGGCAGAATGGTTGAATGTCCGCCGCACCAACTGAAAGCCAGGCCGAACAGCTGTGCTTTACAGGCCCTGGGGACCTGTACTAGGTCCTGCAGGGCCGTGATCTCGGATGGGAGCATGTTCCACCAGGTTGGGGCAAGGGCCCCAAAAGCCCTTACCTTGGGTTGAGGCTAAGCGGACGTCCCTCGGTCCATCAAGGTCAGTGTTGTCTACTCAGATCTGGCCGTGGGTCTCCAGGGTCTCAGGCCGAGATCTTTCCCTTCACCCACTACCTGATTGTTTCAACTGGAGATGCCAGGAATTGAACTTGGGACCTTCTGCATGCCAAGTGGATGCTCAACCACTGAATCCCCCCAAATTCCTTCGGGGCACCCACACTGACCTCCGCCAGAGACCCTGGAGAACTGTCTCCAGATCTGCAGAGGCCATACTGACCTTGACAGACCAAGGAAGTCTTGACCCAGCGCACAACCAAGTACCGTCGGGTCTTACTCACGAGATACTTGCAGATGTTGAAATAGGTGGCGTTGAGGTTGGCATAATTTTCAATCGCAAAAAGACCCGCGGGCACATCTGCCCATTTCATAAAGATGGTACAGGTGTTGAGAACGTCCTTAGAGACCTAAGGGATGAAAGAGCAGGTAGAGTTAGCCAGGCCGGGAGGTGGCCTCACACAACGGCAGCTCAGAAGGGTCGAGGTGGGAAAATCCAAACGTACTTTTTTTTTTTTAACAGTTTATTTACATTTTATTATGTACAGCAACAATCTTCGGTTCTCATTTTATGTTTGTGAGTCATGTTATTTTTACATTCTCCAGCCACAAGTAAAACCGTTGCCACCTTTCTTCAAAAATCCTTCTACTTTTACATTGCATTCTCACATTTAATCTGTCCAAACGTGCTTTTTCGACCCTGCAACGGAGGAGGAGATAGCGAAGATCTGTCCAGCACAGGATGGGTGTTGGTTCACCCAGACCGCGCCTCCTCGGTGGGATTCCTCTCAACCATGGGCGCGAGGGCCAGTGGATGCTATTGTGGATTAAAACACATACAGCCCACCGATGCTCCCTCTAAGCTGTGCAGTCTGGTGAGCAAAAATCCTACTTTGTGAGCGACTGGCATTAAACTTGTGAGCGGTTTGGCTACTGCCTAAATTAGTTTGCTCTGGAGCCATCCTTCCTGAGCTGAGACAAAAATGTGTGAGCTGGAGGCTAAAAAACTGTGAGCTGGCCAGGGGCCATTTCGTAGAAAAAGAGGTGCAGGAGCTCATTAGCATAACTCATTTGTATAACTCATTTGCATATGCCACGCCCCCAGACATCACCGGAAGTGTGTCAGAAGGCAACACTCACCGCTCAGGCTCCACTGGACTGTTTTGGATTGCTAGCGATGGGGGGAGGGGGGAACGTGCAGATCTGTCCTCGCAGAGGAGGGAGAGCTTGTACCTGAATAAAACTTGGAAAGAAAGAGGGAGAGATGGAAAGAAGGAGAGAAGAAAAGAAGGAGGGAAAGAAAGAAGGAAAGAGGAGGAAAAGAAAGAAAGAAAAAGAAGGAAAGAAAGAGAGGGAAAGATGAAGGGAACGAGGGAAAGAAAGAGGGAGAGAAGAAAAGAAGGAGGGAAAGAAGGAAAGGAGGTCTACTTCTTGCTCCTCATGGCCCGGGGCTGCTGGGAGCAGGGGGTGGGGCTTGTTGCATGTGCCCGCCCCCTGGAGCTCCGCTCCTGTGCGCTCCTGCGGGAAATGACCCCTGCTCTAAGCTGAGTTAGTGTGAGCTAGCTCACCAGTTTTTAGCCTCTGGCTCACATGTTTTTCGTCTCTGCTCCGGAAGGAGGGCTCCAGAGCAAACTGATTCATGCCGTAGCCAAATCGCTCGCTCACAACTTGAAAGCCAGTCGCTCACCAAGTAAGATTTTTGCTCACAAGGACTCCACAGCTTAGAGGGAGCATTGCAGACTGTATCCAAAAGGCCTTTTGTGTCTCGAAACTCACTTCTCTAGTGAACGGATCTGCCAGCTGAATCAAGAGGGGGACTTGGCTCTGGAAGACGTCCTCCTTCAGACTGTGCCGGTTGCTGTCCGAAACGGCCGCCCCTTTCAGCAGCGTCCCGAAAAGGCCGATGGAGTCACCTCGCAAGTCGTTGTCTTCCTAAAACAGATTGGAACAAAGTCAGTCAGTAACTGGCAGGGGTGTCGAACTCATTTGTTGTGGGGGCCGGATCGGATATAAATGAGACCTTGTTGGGCCGGGCTATGTGTGTCATAAGACGTAATGCCAGGTAGCGGAGATATAAACTTTATAAAGGACACAAACACAAAGGGTATTTTTTACTTAAAATAAAAACATGCTCAAAACATTAGCACTCTTGCAATAGTTTGTTCATTTAACCGTGTCTGATAACTGACACCGCTTGCTCTGAATTACGGCATCAGAATGCCTGTGCTGTTGCAACCTTGAGTATGCTGTTCAGGTGTGTATCTGTCAGCTGCAAACCTACGATGACGCAGGAGCAGCAGAACTGGAAGCAGCAGCAGAAGACAGCCAGTTCCACTGTGAGCCTGATAGAAGCCCTCCGGGGGCCTAATCTGGCCCCCCCGGGCCACATGTTTGACACCCCTGCTCTAGGGGCCTGGCGGGAGGGGGTGGTGGTGAAATAAATACCTTAAATCAGTGGCTAGCTAATGTTTTGGAGCAAAGACACACTTACGATTTGGGACCCACTGCTACAGAGGATCAGGGTGTTGGCAACACCTGGACCCCTGAGATGAATTTGGGGCAGAAGAGGGAATGCAGCAGCTCTACCTCCTTGGGGAGGGGCTCCAGCTCAGCGGCAGAGCATCTACTTTGCATGCAGAAGGTCCCAGGTTCAATCCCCGGCATCTCCAGGCAAAAGGACTTGGAAGGAGGTGATGTAAAAGACCTCAGCCTGAGACCCTGGAGAGCTGCAGCCTGTCTGAGTAGATGGACGGTCTGATTCAGGATAAGGCAGCTTCATGTATGTTTGTGAGTGGTCTCTTATCCTTTCCCCACTTCTGGTAGGATGTACAGATGGCCACAGGAATAAGCAGCTTTAAAAGGGGATTAGATAGATTCACGGTGGATAAGTCTATCAAGGGCTCTTCTGAGGTTCCTATCAGGGGAAGGCCTCAGCCTCTTTGCCCTGTTGTTGGCCCTCTAGAGGGACTGGTTGGCCACTGTGTGAGGCAGGAGGCTGGTCTAGATGGACCCTCCCTGGTCTGACCCAGCAGGGCTCTTCTGATGTTCTTACCAGGGGAAGGCCTCGGCCTCTATGCCCTGTTGTTGGCCCTCCAGAGGAACTGTTGGCCACTGTGTGAGACCGGAAGCTGGACTAGATGGACCCTTACTGGTCTGACCCAGCAGGGCTCTTCTGATGTTCTTACCAGGGGAAGGCCTCGGCCTCTATGCCCTGTTGTTGGCCCTCCAGAGGAACTGTTGGCCACTGTGTGAGACCGGAAGCTGGACTAGATGGACCCTTACTGGTCTGACCCAGCAGGGCTCTTCTGAGGTTCTTATCAGGGGAAGGCCTCGGCCTCTCTGCCCTGTCATTGGCTGTCAGAGGAACTGGTTGGCCACTGTGTGAGACGGGATGCTGGACTAGATAGACCACTGGTCTGATCCAGCAGGGCTATTCTGAGGTTCTTATGAATCCTTTGGCTTTTATGCCCTGTTGTTGGCCATCCAGAGCAACTGGTTGGCCACTGTGTGAGACAGGAGGCTGAACTAGGCGGACCACTGGTTTGATCCAGCAGGGCTCTTCTTATTTTCTTATGACAGCCTTGGCCTCTCTGCCCTGTTGTTGGCCCTCCAGAGGAACTGGTTGGCCACTGTGTGAGACGGGATGCTGGACTAGATGGACTATTGGTCTGATCCAAAAGGGCTATTCTTATTTTCTGATGACGGCCTTAGTCTCTTCCGCCCTGTTGTTGGCCATCCAGAGCAACTGGCTGGGCACTGTGTGAGACGGTGGTGGACTGGATGGACCCTCACTGGTCTGATCCAGCATGGTTCCTGTGATGTTCTTATGAAGGCCTCGGCCTCTCTGCCCTGTTGTTGGCCCTCCAGAGGAACTGGTTGGCCACTGTGTGAGACAGGAGCTGGACAGGATGGACCACTGATCTGATCCAGCAGGGCTATTCTTATTTTCTTATGATGGCCTTGGCCTCTCTGCCCTGTTGTTGGCCCTCCAGAAGAACTGGTTGGCTATTGTGTGAGACAGGAGGCTGGACTGGATGGACCTCTGGTCTGATCCAGCAGGGCTCTTCTGATGCTCTTATGGCAGAGTCTTTGATACTGACTCACAAGTTTGAGCTTCAAAGCCCACCCGCAAGAACACTGTGGCCCACTTTTGAGTTGAAAGGGTTGCCAGCTTCCAGGGTGGGGCCTGGAGATCTCCCCAAATCAGATCAGAGATCGGTTCCCCTGGAGCAAATGACTGCTTTGGAGGGAGGACTCTTTGGCCTTCTACTGTGCTGAGGTCCCTCCCCAAGCCCCGCCCCCCAAATCTCCAGGAACTTCCCCAACTGGAGCTGGAACCCTGCGGGGTGGGGGGGTGGGGTCTTGCCCGCTTGCTGCCTTACATCGTTGAAGTATTTCAGGAGGTGAGGGATAAGGCTGATGCCCATCGACCCGTACTCCACCACGGCCAGGTGCCGGAACATGTACTGCAGGGTTTTGATGGACTCCTTTGCGATATTCCTGTCCGCATCGAAGGCGCAGCTCATCAGCGGAGGGAGGAGGGACTCCAGAGACTCGTCCTGAAGGGAGGAGAGGAGGGGTGAGACCAGGTGGCCACAAAGGACGTGCTCCACGCACAAACGTTTATTTCGGCTTACCTGAGCAGGAACGCGACTCGCGCCGCCAAACCGTAGCAGGACCCCTTCCAACGGCAGGTTTTGAAGCCAACTTTGCTACATCAACAAAGGCCATTTCCATTTCCACAGGAGTGAGATTCCCCGCATTGATGTTTTTTTAAACTGCGCATTAGGTAGCCCAGAGGGGCACTCCACTCTTGACCTGAACCGGAGACCCATAAAAGTCAGGCCAAAGGAAGGCACTCCTGGCCTGAAACACAGAGCTAGACACAGCTCTGGGAGGAGGGTCTCCGTGTCCAGGTTTGCATATTAGGCGACATACCCCTAAGGTAGCCAATCCTCCAAGAGCTTACAGTAGCCCCTGTAAGAAGAGCTCTGTAAGCTCTTGGAGGATTGGCTACATTAGGGGTGTGTTGCCTAATATACAAAGGAGTCCCTGCTACAAAAAGAGCCCTATTATATGTGTGTGTGTATATATACAACCCAGTCCACACACAGAAGCGTCGGAGTAAACATGCACAAGGCTGTGCTGTAAATATTCTTCACGGGCTCAATATTTTTTAAAAAAATTTATTTCACTGATACCCCACTTTCTTCCCCAATGGGGAGTCAAAGTAGCTTACGTCATTCTTCTCACCCTCATTTTATCCAACCACCCTGTGAGGTAGGCTAGGCTGAGAGGGTGGGGATGGCCCTAGGTCACCCGGCAAGCTTAAGAACTTCAGAAGAGCGCTGCTGAGTCAGACCAGGGAGGGTCCATCTAGTCCAGCATCCTGTCTCACACAGGGGCCAGCCAGTTCCTCTGGAGGGCCAACAACAGGGCAGAGAGGCCGAGGCCTTCCCCTAATAAGGACACCAGAAGAGCCCTGCTGGACCAGACCAGGGAGGGTCCCTCTAGTCCAGCCTCCCGTCTCACACAGGGGCCAACCAGTTCCTCTGGAGGGCCAACAACAGGGCAGAGAGGCCTCAGCCTTCCCCTGAGAAGAACATCAGAAGAGCACTGCTGGATCAGACCAGTGAGGGTCCATCTAGTCCAGCCTCCCGTCTCACACAGTGGCCAGCCAGTTCCTCTGGAGGGCCAAAAACAGGGCATAGAGGCCCAGGCTTTCTCCTGATGCTGCCTCCCAGCTCAGGGACTCAGAGGATTAGTGCCTTTGAATGTGGAGGTTCTTCTCAGCCGCCATGGCTAGTATCCTCCATGAATCCATCAGTTCCCCTTTAAAAGCTGTTTATTCCTCTGGCCTTCACTACATCCTCCGGCAGCAAAATCCACATTTGAATCCCTCTCGGTGTAAAGTCGTATTTCCCACTGAAGCCCCTCCCTTCCCTAAACCCCGCCCTCCCTAGGCTCCGCCCCCAAATCCCCAGGAACTTCCCAAACCAGGGTTGGCCACCGTATTGAATCATGCGGGGGATCCCCTTACCTCCAGAGGGTGCTGGAGCAGGTGGCCCAGCCCTCGGATGCTGAAGACCTGCATGAGGGGGCAGGGCTGCATCATCCATTCCCGGAGGACGTCCAAGATGTCCTGCTTCACAAACAGCAGGCCGATCTCTCCGTGGAACAGGAGCTGAGGCACAAAATCCCGGTGGTGAGCAAGGCCTGACAGGACCACCGCCCCCCCTCCCCCTGCCCCCCCCCCAAAGAGTCAGCATGAAAACAAAAATCCAAATTCGTTGCTGGGAAATCGGGGCTATTTTGGGGCAGGAACGCACAGGAACGGTGTTCCGGGTGGCTTCAGAGTTGGCCACGCCCACTACAGCCAAAACCTCTGCCTGCGTGGCTACAGAGGGAAGGCCTGGAAAGCGACACACATACACACCCCCACCGCGACTCCAAGGCAGGTGGGCCAGGCAGGGCTCCGGAAGGATCAGGGAGGCATTAAAATGCCCCCCTCCGCCTTCCCCGGCCTGTCCAAGGGCCGGCTTGCCCGGGCTCTCCGCAGCCGTGGGGCACCCAGGCAAGCCAAGGGAAGGCAGTTTAAACTGCCTTCCCTTCCCTTCAAGGGGGGGGGGGCTTGCCTTGGTTCCTGTAGCCGCTGGGACAGCAGAGGCGAGAGGTCCTTCCTGCTCCCCCAGCTGTCTAAAGCCCCATTTTAAAAGATATGGCCGCCGTCAGAAGCGGGCGCGGGCGCGAAAGGAGTCTTCTTGCTAGACGCTGCCTCTCGCGTCTGCTGTCAATCGGAGAGCGGACGCAAGAGGTCCTTCCTGCTCCCCCAGCTGTCTAAATGCCCCCTTTAAAGAGATATGGTCGCCGTCCGCCATGGGGGGGGGTCGCGAAAGTTTCTTTCGTCTCTCTGAGCCCTGGGGTGGTGGCCTTGGACTGCTCCCTG